TGAGTTATATTTTACTATAATTACTCTCTGGTTGACTAGTGAATTAACAATTATATTTAAAGTTTTACTAATAATTTCTATATAAATATTGGTTTTAAATTTATATTAAAAAATAAATATAATTTTTTAAATCACTTTTACTAAAATGCATTTAGTGTTTTAAAACTGACTAATTAATTAATATGCAATACTCTAAGTAAAAGTGTTTTACAATTCTCAAACTTAATTCTAATACTAAATACTAACTATAATGTGAAGAATTTGTGCTATATTAAAAGTAGTAAATCAATATAGGTACAACACAGGAAATTAGAGTAGTAAGAATGATGAATGTGATAGATTAAAATGAAATCAGATTAAAATGAAATTTTAATATTTTTTAGAGATGATTTAAAAAATTTTAGGTGATATTTTTTAGGGTTAGGGTTAGGGTTAAGGTTAGGGTTTAGTGTTAGATTTATTAATAAAAGAGTATAAATAGGTTTTATAAGCTTTAAAGAAAAGTGAGAGAGGTCCTCCATTTCATTTTTTTTTTTTTTTTTTTTTTTATAAATTTAGCAGTCATGCTTTAACTTTATTAGGCTTTGTACAAGTCTTCTAGACTGGTAAAATTTTACACTAAGTTGCATTTAGAAAGGTAAATGATAAACTCTTAACTTGTCAGCAGATAGTGTATGAGAACTATCTCTAAACGATAAGCACTATAGCATTAAACCTAATGTTACCTAAATTACAAGTTAAAACTAACTCAGTTACCTTAATTGGTACCTATATTCGACCTGCTATAACAAAAATTTCCTCTTTCCAGACCCCTCCTGTACTTGGATATGACCTGGCTCTTAACAGTGGACCTTGCCACCTGTCATGACTATCTTCTCTTCTTTCAAACTTCTTTTACCTAAGCCCGACAACACAAATAAAACCCTTATTCATATATAAAAGTAAAAATGTAAAGCCATGTTTATGAAACACATAAACATTTTAGAAAAAAAACGCCTCACAGTAATAAAAAAAAACAAAACTAAACTAAATTTCCTAAAATAGTCTAATATAAATAAACAAAGATGAAAAAAGCGAAAAAAAATAAAGTAGCCATAACATACTATTATAGCCCATGCCAGGAATAAAAATAAAAATTATATAATAATTGCAACTAATTACTATCTTGTTCCAGTCACTGACTCAACTCAGGTATCTCCTAAATGGGGTAATGATCTCTTCCTCATACTATAGCACCATATTGATAAACAAAAGAAACATGTGGTTGCATTCTACTAAGTTCGTCCGAATTAGGTAGGTGTAAACAATGTCAATCTTTTGGAGGAGGTGAGCTAAAATGCCCACTTTTTTGTCAAAATTTTTGGTGAGAACGGCAAAAAGTGAAAAACACAAAAAAGAGTATTGGCACTTCTTTAAATGAGTGTAAGTTCTAAAGACATCAACAGGTGTTCCACAAGTTTGCACAGTACTAAGTTTTTTCAGTGAGTAATAAACTCTGGGCTTGTTGATAGATAGCGTATGAGAACTATCTCTAAACAACAAGTGCTGTGCTGCCGTAAATGATAAACTCTAAGCTTGTCAGCAGGTAGCATATGAGAACTACCTCTAAATAACAAGTGTGGTTCTTCTTACAACCTTTTCTCATGTTTTATATTTTTCTTGCAGTATGTTACTGTTTTTTAGTCAAAAAGTTTTTCAGAAAATATGGTCCAGATAATCGTCAGAAAGAGTTGGTTCTCCATTTTATTTTAATCTGATTTTATTTTAATTTGTGTCAATAAATAATACTAGTGCTTAACCAGAAGTCAATGGTATATTAAAATTAGTATTTATATATATTTTATAATAAATATTTTGTTTTTAAATTAACTAAATATTTTATATTTGAATTCAGAGCAACATGACAGATTAGATGCTAGTATGTTATATATGCTAGATATTCTAATTATACTATTTATATTAAATATTCTGAATATTCTAAATTCTAAATATTCTAAATATACTATTTATAATGATGTGCTAATATAAACAAATATGTATCCAATTGTTAATTATGATTATAATTGATAATTCTACTTTTTACTTATGATATTTCTTTCTTTTTAGTTTGTTTATTTCACGAACTATATTAAACCTCTACCTTCATAGTTCTAAGGTCTGTCAAGTTTAATTTTCTAGTTTGGTATACTTGTTTAATTTTATAAATCTTAAATAACTAGTAGATTTTTTTGTGGCTGTATAATTGTGTTTTTCAGCATTCAGTTTGCTGTTTTAAATTTGCTTCATTTATCAGTTTTCTCAAATAAAAACTGTAAACTAGACTTCCAATATGACACTTGAACTTTAGATTCTTAATATATGCCAGTAGGTTATTTCAACTTAATATTTGGCTTCATTGTAAGGCAGGAGTGTAGTCAAAACTTTACATAGATTTAGCCTTAATAGGTTATTGATTATATCATCTATTGCATGTGTTATCTTATTGTTGAGATTTAAGGTTTTTTTCTCTTTTTTTTAATATAAAAAAAAATTCATCTTCAATTTCCTTTTGTTATTTCTTTTTTATTTTCTCTTTTCTTTATTATTATTCTTCTTCTTTTCTTTCTCTTTTACAATTTTTTTTTTTTATAGTTTTTTTTTTTATTTATTTATTATTTCTCTCTTTATTAAACATCTCTTTTCTTCTTTTAGATGATTCCTTTGTCTTTTTAAATTATTATTTTTGCCAAACTTCAAGTAGTATTTAAGTTTATGAGAGACTTTAGAACTTTTCAATTTCATATTTGTAATTTATATAATCTATTTATCAATACATTATATGTAAAAAATAAACCTTTTCATTTTGGTTTAGTTAGTGACTATGGGATATCTAGTAAGCTACATCAAATAATAAAACTTTTTTACCTATTTGATAGTTAGATATAATCTTTATTTATTGATTATATTGTTCTTTTTGTTTTACTTGTATCAATCATATTTGTTTCACTGTTTTATTTTGTTGTTCTGGGACCTTGTTTAATAAATTAAATATTTTTTGAATAATGGTTTTATTTAAGATATCAGGGTATTGCTAGAGTGCAAAGACAAATAGGCCTCTTTTTTATATACAGTCAACTCTCTCTAAGTGCAGTTTGTCAGGGCCTATAAAATTTTCTTAAGTAAAAAAAAAAATCCTGCATTAAAAGAGAATCTGCACTAAGAGAATATAAGTTCATTATGATTTTATATAGCTTGGGACTAAAAAAAACTTGCATTTAGAGAGAATTTAATATGACCTGCATTTAGGGAGTATGCATTTGGTAAGAGTTAACTGTACTAGAAAAAATAAAGCCATTCTTGTTGAACTTTTTTTGCTATTCAGTAAGAAAATAATATTGACTAAATAAATTAATTCCAATTGACTACATGTTGTATTGTTTTTGTCAATAATTTACATAGTGTTTTATTGTATTATTTAACAAGGCTGTTATTTTGAGAATAGTAGAGAGTCAACAGTTTGTATTTAATTTGGAATTTTTTTAATAGTGCTATAATAAGTTCATTTTTAAAATATATACCACAATCTGATGCTATATATTGTAAGCAGCTATGCTTACAAATTATTTCTTTGTATATAGAGCTTGCAACTTCAATTGCATTGTCTTTTTTGAGTACTCTTGCTTTGGGCCACTTTAATATATAGTTAGTAGCTACTACTATATATGGGAAGCTGCTAGTAGAAACCAAGCAAATTGTTTTTATAAAATTTTAAATTAAAATATCTCAACAACTATTAAATTAAACTTGATAAATTTTTTTTATTTTAATAATTATATAAATATATAATATTAAAAAAAATATTTATCAAGTTTGGTTAAATAGTTGTTGAGATATTTTATTTTATAGTTTTAAAAAAATTTTGGTTTCTACTAGCAGCCCCCCATATTTTTACTGACAGAGTGTTATGGACAAGAGCCCTACAATATCAATGCCAATTGAAAAGATATTGAGTTAACTTGAACTAGATAGAGTGGTTTTTGGAGCTTGTTTTTTTCTTGCTGTTGGCATAAATCATATGCATATACATATTTCTTGATGCTTTCAAATATTTGGAGTCAAAAGTAATATCTTTTTATTTTTTTGAACATTGTAGCTTAATCTATATGTCCTTCAATCAGATGTTATATACTAAAAACAATATTGGTTTGATTTTAAATGTCTGCATAACTTTTAATTAGTTGTTCTTTTTTATCTTTAAGAACTTAGATTTTGAAATTATGCATTATTGTTTTTTTATTTATGCTTAATAGTAGTTGTTAATTCATTATATAGCACTATAATTGGTAATAATGTGTTGAGTTTATATTCTTTCAAAATATAATTTGGAAAAGTAAACTAAATATACTAAAAAATTTTTTTTTGATTTTGAGCAAAAAGAATTTAGTTAAGATATTGCTAAAATAGTATTAGTGAGGAATCTAAGATTTTGAAAATTCAAATAAGTAAAAATTCAATTATTTGTTCAAAATTACATTTTGGTGAGGTTAAAAAATATTGTTGAGTATAAAAGAAAAAATCTACTTGTTTGGTTTATAATATAATTTTCAGAAAAAATTTGTAGTGTTAATAAAAATGTTTTTATACTATATATTTGTTGTTAAATTTTTTTATATATATTGTATTGCTTCTCTTTTTTATTATTATTTTTTCAATATTAATATTTTTTTGGTTGCCAGAACACTGATAACCTGGGCTGTATTGGGTCCAGATTTTTTTTTCAATTGTTATTCAAATGCAGAAAAAAGTGTTTGTGTTAGAGTGTTTTTGCCCAAGGTGATATTTAATACTATAGTTATATGGTTGCAAACGGAGAATTCTACTATAGTTATATAGTTGCAAATAGAGAATTTAATAAGCACTTTGGCCTTTAATTTTGATGTTTTTAACTACTTCAATGCTAAGTAGTTAATTATAACAGTAAATAGCCTATGACTAAGATAGTAGTAAAAATATTCAATTGTCTAAATAACAGCAAGACACTTTTGTTTTGTTATAGAATAGTTATGTTTTAGCTTTGTAAGACTCCTTGATGTGTAGACAACAATGTATTCATTTTGGTCATTGCCAACTTGGGCCAAAATAGCATCTAAGCCTACTTCTAAAACATCAATATATAAGTAAAATTATTATTCAAAATCTGAGTATAACAAAATTAGAGCAGAAATTAAATATCATTTGAGAGTATTAAAGGATTGTTGCTGATTGATAGTCCAGTTGTAGTGTTTGTCTTTTTGAAATAATTGATGCAGGGGTTTTGCAATTGTTGCAAAATTTTTAATAAATTTGCAATAATATAATAATAAACCCAAAAACTATATAATTGTCAAATGTTGTGGGGCACTAGAAAATTTTGTACTTTGTTTACTTTAGCCTTTTCTGGTTGTATTTCATCTTTGCCAACTATGTGGTCTAAGAAATATAAGTTTTGCAAAAAAAATTAATACTTTTCTAAGACCTACATTGCTTATTAATTGAAAGACTTGATTTAAGTAATTAATATGCTTTGAAAAGGTATGAGAATAAATATTGATATCATCAGGATATACTGCAACAAAATTGCCAACAAAGAAACCAAGAAATCAATAATAAGTTTTTAAAAAATCACTAGGTATTTCGTCCAAGTTCCTCTAGTCTATTTGCAAACAAATACTTATTATTTTAATTAACTTCTTTATATTTTCTTTATATTTTTTATTAATATTTCTATCTTCAATAATCTTTGTCATTTGTTTATTAATAAACAGTTTTTTATTAACAGAGACTAACTTATTAGTTGAAATTTCTTTCATTACTGCTAAACATATAGCTAGGCTTTTTATTTTAGTTAATTTGGTATTTTTTTTTTCTAAAGTACTTTCTTCATTAGATAAAACACAATCAGATAAAAATCTTTCAAGTTCATTAAGCTCTTCACTTTCATACTCAAGTTTATCAAACAATTGATTAGTGTTATCTTTATTATAGTTATCCAATTCATCAGTTGCTAGTATTTGTTTTTTCTTTTCTTTATCTGTATGCATAATGGGTACTTCTAAACCTTCTTTCTAAATATCTAATAACTAATTTTTATTCATCAAAATTCAGTATGGCCTTAGCTTTTTAAAACTAGTCGGTTCCTGACAACAAAGTTTTATCAACTAATTTAGTACTTGTAGTGCAGTAGAGATTTATATATTTAAAATATCAATATTTGCTTTTGTAATTTTGTCTAAGGTATGTTCTCTTGCTCTAATAGCTGTGACTACCACAGTTTTTGATTTTTCATTAAATTTTAGTCCTAATTAATTGGCCAACCTTTTCATAATAATACTTATAGCTATGCCTGTGTCTAATATTAATGTAATATTTTTAAGCTATAGTATGTTGAGTAAGTTGAGAATCTACAAGATTTGCTTCTTTAGAATCAGAGGGCCTTTTTATAACTTTTGCTAAGTTTCTATATTGATTTGGATATTGTAAAAGTTGTCCCAATGTGGCATTGTCTTTCATTGCCAAAATATTATTTGCTACATTGTATGGTTTGACTTTATTGATCACTAATAGTCCTCTTTTATATTAAGGTTTATGGTCAGAGGGAAGTACCTCAATGTCAGTTTTTGGAGTCATTTCTTTATCAAAATTTACAAAAATAAGAAACTCATTTTCTTTTTTTTTTGCTTTTGGCTTTCTACATTATTTACTAGATTTTTAGGTAGACAGCTTTTTCTTTTTTTAGTAGATAGATAGTCTATGTTATATAGTTCTTTATTCATACATTGTTATCATTAATTTCTTTAGCAGTTTGCAGTAATTAACTTTTTTGGGTTAAGTATTCTTGTTGTAATACTTATTCTTCTGGGTTTGGTTATTTTTAAAGAGAGTATATTTATATACAACATGGTCTTTATTGTATAGCTAATGTTACAATATTTGCATAGTTGATTGACATTTAATTTATTGTATTTATTAAGGTTTCCATATTACTTTCTGTTCTTTGGGGTTGTTGCGATGTTTGTTAGCTATAATATTCACTGGCTTCAACCTTTCTTGCACAAGAAATTGCAGTGTCAAGTGTTGTAGGGGCAGTCATGATAATTTAAGTTGTTATTTTACAATTCAAGCTACCAAAAAACATTTGTACAACATTTGGAGTAAGAATCTTTCTGCTGGTTTCAACTTATTACAAGAGTCATTTGAATTTCATAGTATAAGAGTTGATTTTTCACCAGCATGGCGGACATTTGTTTTAATTGGTCAAAAAAAGTAAACAAGTAAACAATATGCATAATGTAGATCATTATGCTACCTATGATTGCCCATGATAATCGGCCATTCAAATTACATAATTTTTAATATTAGAAAACAAAGAAAACTTCACTAAGCTTACAAACCAATAATTACATACAAAGAATTTATTATATAAGATTAGAAAACAGATACAGATAGATATAATA